GTGGCTCGAGGGGCATAAACGCGGCCGAGGGCGCGGACGCGCGAGGGATAATAGCGTGCCAGGCAAGGAGGGGGTAGAAGCGCGGAGTGGGGGGGTGCGGTGCCAGGTTGAGAAGGTCGGAGGGAGGGAGGGAGGGGGGGGTAGAAGCAGGGACAGTGGGGAGGGGGTGGGAGGGAATGCGGTGCCAGGTTGAGAAGGTCGGGGGGAGGGAGGGAATGTTCAAGAAGAAGCAGTGCCGCTGCGAGTGCAAAATGCGAGGGATTAAGTACTTTCGGTAGCTTTGCTTAGAGCGAAAGGGGGTTAAGGGTTAAGCCAAGGCGGCGGCAATGAGTCTTGGTGAAGAAGAAGGAAGAGACAGCGCCAGAGACAAAGAGAAGCAGAAAGGACAACAGGGAACTCATCCAGTAAAAAGATATTACGCAAAGAAATGAAGATGTAATTGAGGATGAGAAATGAGGTTTGATAAATACAGTGAAGAACGTAGAGAGAGGGAATAGAGGGTGCCTATTTGAGAGAAGAGGAGAATAAGAGCTGCTTTGTTACTCTACTACTGCTTAAAAAATCAAAGACAAAGTCCTTAGTGAAGAAGTTTTTTAATCCTGAGAAAGGAACCTGAAGTATCAGAAGATTTGGCTATTTTAGAATATCTTTACACAAAAGACAAAGTCCTGAAACATTGTGAATAAAAACGTGCCAACTTGGCTATGCTGATATCCGTTTAAATACAGCTGCATATTATCCACATCTATAATTATTCCATTATTTCCCATCAGATATAAAAGGGAGTGGTACCCTAAATACCCCCTCCCCCTACACACACACCTCATATCACACAGGCACCAAAGGTAGCACACACACCTCATAAATCCTCCCCTCCTCCCCCCAGTGCCTTCACCCTCACTCCCGTGCAGGTCATTCAACCTGCTTCTTTGGCCCGGGGGTGAACAGTCGCCAGTGCCACCCGCCCACGACCCCTCAGCGGCTCACGAATATGACACAGACAGTGGCACTCATGAGGGGTGAGTTCGCCATACAGAGGGAATACGACTTTCGACGCTATGGATCTGAGCAGAGCGGCTTGATATAGAATGACTACGGGGAGCACATTGGCTGTTGTTGCTCATATCTCGAGGGCCAATATACGATACGCTGATAGGAGCGATTACGGTCACCTGGATAAGAGGCCATTTCTTATGTAATAAGTATCATGTTTGTGTATGTTTGAAATAGCAAAACCAGAAACAAAAATAATAATGAGTATGAGAAGTGTATATTCAATCCTACAAACTATTGTTATGACTCCTGTATCTAACTATTGTCAAAGGTAGAATTGCATTTCATCAACAACTTTATTTAAAACCAACAAGTCCCACCCCTCCCCCTAACCACCGGCCCACCGCCTCCCTAACCGGTGCCAAGTAGCATCGAATGGCGTGACGCGCACCGAAGAAAGGCCGGGGACAAAGAGATGTTCATTAAACAGTAGATTCCCTTTAATCTGACCTTCTCGAACCACTCTTTTCCAACCTAAACCGAGATCTCATATGTCAGAAATTCTTGCCAAGTTGAGATGTTTACGCAATGGAATAAGCGCAGTACCAATGCACCGGGGTAAGCCCTTGCCACCGGACGGGCCTTGCAGTAAGACGGGTTACACGTTAGAGAATCAGGGTCATCGTTGTTTGTTAGTGATGTGGGGCTTGTGAGTGGGGACGCTAGAGTCGAGAGTCGCTTGGCGTAGTAGTGTAGTGGCACTGTGACGTCACGCGGGGTCGCGCGGTCAGTGCCACAGTTCCCGCGTGTCCTCCACGTACCTGGTAATTAACTGTTGACGAAACGGCGCTGTGCGGGAAAATCCAAGCTGTGTTCGGGTAAATGCCAGGAAATAGGATAATATTTAGAGGTTGCGGTGTTATTCAGTGTAATGTTGATTAAGTATATATTTGTCAACTGACACTGCCAACAGGATGCCTAATGTTGTGAAGTGTAGGTCGGTATGTATATTTTTCTTCAGAGAAAATCTGTTGAATAATTAGATACACTCGTATATGTATAAGTATATAAAGTATATGTACATATATATAAATGTGTGTGTGTCCATATATATATGTATATATACATATATATATATATATATATATATATATATATATATATATATATATATATATATATATATATATACTTATGGTAAATTTTGGTTGTGATTTTTAAAAAGCGAGGTAGATTACTGTTCTCATAATGATGTTAATGATTAATCTTTACAGTTTGGTGCACTTTTCATTTCTTTTACACGCATATAACGGTGCCACTCGTTTTCTTTACGCCGTAGAAAACGAAACGCACCCATCGTCAGCTGGGGAAAAAAATACGGTGCTAAATTTTCATTCAGTTTCTCAATCTCTTTCATTGTTTACATCTACAATAACAAGGTAGACAAAAAAAAACACGGAATCAGTGACATCCAGGAATAGAAAATGTCTCATCTCCAAGGAAAGTTTGGCCCAACGCGCTTTCCTATTATCCTCGCCTGCCCTGTGCCTGGATGCGTCGCCAGACTGATTCCGGGGGAACTGTTTGTTTACAAGGTTTAAAAGACAGTTGCTTCGAGAAAAAAAAGATGATTCCATGCTTTCCCGTTGCTCGTTAGATCATGATTCATTGCGAACAGGCATTTTTTTATGTGATGCATGGGTTCAATTATGTCCTAATCATTTTGTGATCAGAAATAAATTTGAATATATGTAATCTGTTTTTTTTTGTCTTAAAACATATAACCCAAGTCACATTCACTCCCACCCTCTTTTCTTCTCCCCTTACCCCGCCCACACACCAAACACTGTGTTCATGAGACCATTATAAGCAACTACAGTTACTGGGTCACTGAGGCAAGGCGAGGAAGGGGGGAGGGGGATGCTTGGGGTCCAATTGATGCAGTCCGCTGCTTTGAAGGTCGGAGTTTTGTCTTCAAACAAAAACATAGTTTGTTGAACAATTTACTTTTGAACACATTTGTACGCAGCAGTGCATACAGGCAGAAGTTCGTATACATATACACATACACATGTGCAAATTTGTTTGACTGTTATATCTGCTGGCATACACACACACTGTGTATATGTGATTCCAGAACCTTCTTCGTCTGACTCCCCGCACCAGTCCGGTCCTTCTCCCTCTTCATCTGCCGACTCAGTGCATCAAACGCCTTTCGCTAGTGCATCAATTTCCCTTTCCTTCCGACCACTTTCTTTTCCTCCGTCAGCTCTCCATCTCCGAGAAATCGCCCCCCCCCTTCAGCGCCCTCTCGACCCTAGTCATCATTTCGTGCCCCCCCCCTTCCATCATAACAAGCCCCCCCCCCCCCCCCGTCCTCGCGCCCTCCCTCAACGCGCCCCCCCCTTCCCCCGCAGTGTCTTACATAGCGTACGTTCACCCCAGCTATGGCCCGCAGAGCCTCGCCTCGCGCATATCCATTCATGGCCACCACCTGTCACCCCTTTATATTAAACTAAATTTTGGATAAAGGGGTCTACGAATGCTTCTCTGGCTAGCTTAACCTTTCGTTAAGAAGTCTCATGTCCAGAATTTGGCCTTTCAAAAGTAATTATAAAGGTCATCTTCTCAGTATGAGCCTACGAGTCATTTTACCTGCGAGGCTGCTGGCGAGGCTAGGGCAATGCCCTCCACGACGGTGAGAGTGCCAGCTTTACACATGCTCTGCAACTGCCACCCTTAAACACATGTGCATAAGTGCCAGAATGCTCTGACGACCTTCCACGAGTTAGGACACGCCATCATAACCTTTATGCAAAAGTACACAGATGCTACTCTACCTTGACACAGTTTCGTAGGCCATAGTGCGCTACACTCACCCTTACGCAGGTAGAAACGAGTGCCACTCTCCGGAGTCACTCTTCATTTCATAGAGACGATTTTACCTCGGCGACCTTTTGCTCTTCGGCGCGCTATTACCGACCTTATGGCGAAGTACAGTCGAGCCGAATTCCTTCCCGACCATGCGCTCCCCTGAGTGCCTAATGAAGGAGCTACAGAAGGTTGAATATTGCTTGTCTTACTATCAGCAAGAGTGACTTCTTAACAAATATTTACAATTACTTTCATTGCTCGCTTGATATACATAGTCGTGCAAGGAAATAGATGTTGGATATATGCATAAATTCCTTATAGTTTATGGAAGTATAATTCATCAGCATCACAGGAACCGACCGGAGGAAAGGGCCTGGGCGCCGCCTCGACAAGACGGATCGGCGCAAAACTTTCGCTTCGAGAGCCACCGCCGTCGCTCGCAGAACCTTCCTACGGCAGCCTTGCAAGCCTCGTGGCACTTGGAGGACCGAGACTACCTGCTATTTTTATGATCCTTTCTCTTGGTGACCTAATCTTCTCGAAAATATTTCTTCTCGACACGTTTTTCTTTTTTCATTCTTCATCGAATAGATCTTCTCTTTCATCAAAATACTTTCCTATTTATTTTCCCTCCGGTCTGTTGGATCATTCATTCCCCTTGCAATGCGAGCTCCCTCGAACAAGCTTGTCTTAGAGTGCATTACTAACGGCAGAGGGAGAGGGGGGGAGAGCTTGCCCAGAGTTGATATTAAGCTTTAATTAAACGGTCCCTGGGAATTTCTCGTGATCGCATCAGACAATTATAGTATGCTTAACCCGTCATCCCCTTTTCACTAGAGAGAGAGAGAGAGAGAGAGAGAGAGAGAGAGAGAGAGAGAGAGAGAGAGAGAGAGAGAGAGAGAGAGAGAGAGAGAGAGAGAGAGAGAGAGAGAGAGAGAGAGATGCACAGAGAGAAAGATAAATAAAGAGAGACATGCAGAGAGAGAAAGATGAATAGAAAGAGAGCGAGAGAGCAAGATAAATAGAGAGAGAGAGAGATGCAGACTGACCGATAGAAAGCAAGAGGAGACGTTGAAAGGCGCCAACAAAATCAAATCTGTCTGATGCAACTTCTACCGCTAGACAGTGACAGA